GATTTTCAGCTTGGGAAATAGTTTCAAGTATCAAATTAAATCTTGTTAGTACTTTTGTGAGATATTTTCTAAGGGTAAAATATAAAACAATTAAGGAAAAACTCGAGTTTTAACACAAAACTAGTTTTTTACGAAATTGGTTTTGTTTTTTTTTGGTGCAATTCAAAAATGAATGACCGGAGGTACTTGAGATCTTTACCTAATCTTTACAATATCATATTATATACATGGTATAACTTTCAAAATATTTTGAGCTACAAATTTACAGACATTAAAATTGTTTTTTTCTTTCTATACATTTGGATAAAATTCTTTTCATAAGGTCAAAAAACTTGAAAATGTTGTTCAATGTTATTATAGTTATTTTAAAATATTAAAGGTACATAATATGCATGATTTTTTGTATAAACATATAATGTTCTAATTTTTACATTATTCGTCTAAATTACGAAAATATGCAAATTATTTTTGGTTAAAAAAGTATGAAACGTTTACATTTTATAGTTAAGGATCGAAACTGAATACAAGATCCCTTATATAAAGTGCTCATCCTGACATCCTGTAACCGAGAAATCTAAAAAAAAGTTATGTGGGTTTAGGCCGGTATTAGAAGCTAAGCAGCTGGAAGTTTATTTTTGTCACCTCTTGTAGGATTCGACATTGTCTTATGCAATCATACATCTTAGATAAATGTAATTGAACACAAAATGGTCGTGGCCGATTACAGAAACCTAACAAGTGATACGCGATGACACGGTCTGAAATTCGGGATCAGACTGATATAATAATTATAATATGATGTGTAGGTAGTAGTTACTATAATTTATCTGACTATTTCTGGAAAATGTTTTGATATTTTTCATAATATTATAGTCTGCGATTTTCTTAGAAACAACAGGTAATCGTAATTGATTGCGAGGTATCTTGCCTTTTTCGAATATTATGTCTATAAACGATAATGAAAATATTCTAATGGTAAAACATTCGGTCTAGCTGATACGCTTTACGTACAGGGTTTGTATAATATATTACATAATAAACTTACACCGCACTTTAACCAAACATAATATTGCAAACGAAAACAAAATTGTTTACTCATATATTATAATATGTGTGCAGTTAATGTTTTTATTATTTATAATAAAGTTATTATACTATATTGTAATAAATTGGAAACTAGTACAATTTTGTGTCGTTGTAAAAATCAATGAGGTTAATCGAGCTGGGGATCGCTTCTTGCTTCCTGCTTTAAATGTAAAATTCTAAAATCGTTAATTCGTCAAACAAGTGCCGTAAATAATCAAGTATGATAGCAAATTAAACAGACACGTGAACAGCTAGGTTTAGCATGGAAAGAGGTTGAGTAGAACTTACAAACAAATGGAAATCGCAATGTGAATTTTCTTAGAACGTGATTCTAAATATGCTAAATAATTTCATGTGCAAATATTAGTATAAATCTAAGCCTTCCTTTATTCTCGCTGTCAACCCAACTATTCGATAGATAGGCGTTTACGTAAATCGTTTTGCAGGAGTGCAGGATGTTGACAAAAAATCGAGTACTCTTTTACAATCATATAAATATACATAATATTAATTAATTAATATTATAATCTCGAGCGCATACAGACCCTATGTTATATTCCGCTCTATGGCCAATGTTATAATAAAATGGTTGTTAATGATTAACCATCATTTGAGACGTAAACAGGATTATTTTCATCACAAAACGATCAATATTTCCCCTCTGAACGTATTTGTTTTTGTTCGAAATAAGGTGTGTTAGACATAACCTATTTTGTGTGATAGTCTCTTATAGAATTGTTTACTCTGTATGACTGTATAAAAAGGAAAAACAATCGAACGACGAACGTATGTGTGTATATTGTGTATATTTTGTGCACAGCAATTCAATACGCGTCAATCAGGCGGGGTTAAAATGTCCAGCGGTGTATACGAATAGACACACACACACACACACACATTTTATATTGTATATTTTTTCACTATATGTGAGTAAACTCTTCAAAACGATATAAACCACTTTAATGTACGAGTTTACTGTACTTATGTTAACCATGATAAGTATATGGAGCGTAACATAATAACATAGTACATGCTGAGAGTATATCGAACGAAATTCCATTTTAACACGTCTGAAGTATAATATATTATAATTTATAATATTATGCAGCACATACGCTTCACTCACAAAGTGCATACATGTATAATATTAATACCATTAGTATGGATAGTTGGATGTGTCAGCGAAAAACTGATTAACTTGGAAAATAATCTGAGAACATGAAAAAGTTACTAGTTTTGTTCTCAATTTTTCTACCCTAGAAAATATGACGTACATAATACTATGTACAGTGTTCACTGAAACACTATGGTAAGACAAAAATAATTACCAATGATAATATTTTTAACTGCTAATTATTTTTTAACTTAGAATTTAAAAATTTAAACCGATCACAACAGAGCAATATGTATAATATCAGAGTTAGCATTTGCAGTACTTGGCTATTTATTTATCTTGTTCAAATTAAAAATGCAGTAAATCCGTTACATAAATCATGTTTAATGTTATACCTGATGCTACCTAAAGCTACCATACTTAAGGTTAAATTATTGGACTTGATTGAGTTACCCTATCGGATCACATGTCAGTCATCTTTGATATTAATTTAAAAAACAAAGTTAATTTGTCAATATAGCTTGGGTTTTGCTGCTTAAAAGTTTAAATATTTAATTATTTCGATCTTTCAATATAGATTAGTTTTTGAGCTTGCTATACAATACGACTTTCAATTAATATTCTTTCAGAAATTATAATAATTAATAGTATAGTTAATGAATAATCATTCATCCCACAATATTATTCAAATTCACCGATGCGCCCTAAAACCTCATAATATATTATTACGTATATATTACATCATAATTATACATGCACAGTTTTTCCTCAGTGTGGGTTATATTTTTGCATGGCCAATTCTGCGAGCTGTGCCATACTTGTTATAAATTACGATTTGTGATTTCTAGATCGCATACAAATATACAATATGTATACATATTACATTGCAGTATTGCCTTATTCAATGTGATTTAAAATTTAGTTTATATCATAGGTACTGAATAACAAGTAGTATCTACCAAAAAATGTCTGAAAAAATGAAAATGTTAAATTATTGATAGACGATATTGCCTGTAACGGAGGAATTAATTATATAATATGTAATTGTATGATGTTCCTCGTTATACATTTTTAATCTTACTAAAGCTTAACAAAAAAAAAAAAATTGTTTTTGAAAGAATAAATTTATACTTTAAATAGTGATGACTGGTGGATAAATAAAAGTATACGAGTATTATAAGACTAAAATTCATTTTTTTTTATTGGTTTGGCCCGCTCTCCCGCAAACCGTTTGCTCATATGTCCTTGCTTATACAACTTATGAACAATATATTATTTATTTTACTCTATGTTACCATGCGTTATTGGATTACGTATATTTAAGAAGAAGGTACTTTTAAAATAAAATGTAACTAAACAATAACGAATCATTGTAGGATTGCTATAATTTGACAAAGCGTTGGTTGTGGAAATATGAAATGCAATTATTTGTGATATAAATTATACGCAATTCTAATAATATAGGTACTATTATATAAGTACCCATTTTTAATTTAAAATATTTATGTATCATGTGGTATTTTATAACTTACATAGAACGATACATAATTTAAAATAATTATATTTTTTTCCTGTACAATTATTGAATTATCCGAATAATTGTACTTAATACTTACAAGTCTTGTGGTTTATTAATGTGTAAACAATGTAGTAATAATTGGGCAGTGGCACACAGGCATGGCAATCGTATACGTACATTGGTGGTGAAGGGAATGAGTAAGTAAGTACGATTTCGATATTGTTTTGAAAATTGATTTTTGATCATCAAAAACATTATTAAAAAATGTCGTTCGTATATATTATTGAAAGTAGTATGCTATTAGACATTTTTCCTCTGCAAGACAAATTAAGAAATCATGCATGATTGATGCGTAGTTGGTTAGAGTGCAGTGGAAAAATATCTACAGTGGCATATGCTACGTTTTGTTGAGAATAGAATAGAATTGTTTTTTTTTTTTTATTGTTGTTTTGCGTTATTATAATATTATATATATTAATAACTAATAAGCAAAACTTCGAAATCGGTTTAAATGCCCGAAACATATTATTCATGTTAAAATACTTTGTTTCGCGCTTCAGAGAAAATAATTAATGTTTCGCCGAAATCAGTATTAAAAATTCGAATCACTGTACGAACACTACGAACAAATATATAAATTCGTTGTATACGTTTAGATAATAGTCAAACGCAAGACGTGTAATACAGGTTATTATGGTCCGATTAGAATCGCTGAAGTTGTGGTGTGATTTCTTTTTACAACGGCATCCATAATGGGGGCAGCCGAGTTAGGCATATACCTCTCAGATAAATTCAAATTTTCGCGCGCTTTTGACCGCACCGCGCACTCCTCCCCGCCGCGTCTTCATCAGCGTGTGCAAGGGGAGGGTGGTGTCGGAATTTACCGCGGCAAAACCCCGCTCGCGCGGTGCACACTATATATACAACAGCTTACACGTATGTATATATTATTATAATCGATTTCGTCCGGCCTAAGCAATAGCGGTAGCCGGGTTTGCGGGGGCGTTCGTGTATATACGTACATATTATATATACACTATATACATGTATACAATACGATACACGGTGTACGTACGTATTTGCCGGGTGGGGGGGGGAGTGGGTGGCGATGGCAGGGGGTGCAGGTATAGAAGTGTAGCAGCCCCGCGGACTTTTTATCGATTCGCGAGCGGCGATGGGGGAAAACCCGAGGCGGCGGCGTTCGCGTTTGCGCGCGCGTCCGGCCGCCAACGCCTCCTCCGCAGCGGCGTTTTGTTTTTATTATTATTATTCGAGCGCTCGGCGGCGACGGCGCGACGCGCGACAACGACACCGCGGCAGCGACACACACGCAGTAGCCAGTAACAGCTGCGCGCCGTCCGCCGACGGTCACACGACGCTTGCCGTCACATTTTCGCCGCCGCCGCTGTCATGTCGATTGTGTACGCGTCCCGTACGATGGACGTGGTGCTGTTCGTCGCGTGTTCCTGTACCTTTTTCGGCGAGTTTCACAAGTCGTCCGCCGCCGTGCCGTATCAGGACGGTAAGTCGATCCGATCATTCGAACCCCGCAAAACTTCATGTTTCACTTTAATATGTCGATCGCAGTATTAATATGTATTATCATCGATATCGTCCAACATCGCGACGTCGATAATAACGATGTTATAATATAATGTTATCGTCTCCACTCTAATGCGTACCCAGATAATTTTAGGTACACTATTATGCGGTATAAAATGTATTGAATGTAGCTAGAAAAATATTCTGATATTTATGAATAATTTATAACAAATTATTGCAGTGCGACTTGCCGTTGTACACGAATTTATACCTACTATAATAATATTACAATACTTATTAACACGTCGTCGTCGCTGTTGTATCACCATCGCGCCATTATTTCGTCGTTCGCCACTTGTTGTGCTCCTTTCGTGCAGAAGTCACCACAGCCGCCAACGCCGCCGCCCGGTCGAAATAATGATGTTTTATTACCACCTGTTTCCCCGCGCGGTCGCCGTACCTCGAGGCCATCGCGCGACCGTTTCATTATCTACAATAATGTTATAATATGTATATTAGGTCTTCTACGTCTGTCCTGTTTGGTTGGCGTGCAGACTTTCAATACAGTATGACAGTTTAGCGTCAAGTCGGGGCTCGATGCTTAAATTCCAACAATAACAGCAACATATTGTAACTAAGTGGTCGTGAACTTGTGACATTGAAATCCGTGAAAACCATTCCTTTAGGCGAAAGTGCATGTTTTCCAAAAGAAATGTAAACATTTTTACACATTTTATGTATTATTATGTCTGCTTATACGTTGGGGGGGGGGGAGTGTGGGCACCACGTTTTCTTTATATACTTTGAACTCGCATTACAACACCTCTGATTTTGTCTCTTTATAATAATATAGTCAATAGTACATAGAACATTTTACTTATGTAAGTGTATCCCGAACCAGATGGTAAAAAATATACAAACCTCAGCCTCGTGAACAATATAATATAGAGTTTCGTGACAGTCTGCACACTATACGGTGGTAGAGGACTCTACTTTTTATATCCATTATTTTTCACATTACGACGTTATTGCGCTATCGCTTGTATGTACCTATTGTACATTTGCACATTTGTACCTCCTACACGTACTCGAGGGATTTACAATTCAAAAATATCCGATTTTCCGCGGAGACTGTTAATCATCTTGCTGAGAGTCGATATAATATGATGACGTGAGAATCGTATACACCTAATTAATGTCGAAAATCTATAGTGTATAAGTAGGAGCTCTGCATGCGGTATATCGTATACATGAATATTAATTAAATGTGTACCGTGGAGTACCTATACGTCATAACGACTGCACATACCTAATAAACAAAGTACATGGAAACAACAATAATATTATTATTGCGCGTGCAGTTACATTTAAGACATGTTATTCAAACTTATTCGTGTACACGATAATAATAATAATAATAATATAATATATTAATAGGTATTAATGTGTATTTTAAATTGCTCAAACAACATAACAGCAATACAGTGCACAGGTGGATTAGAAAATATTCGTGTGTAGTTCACATATAAACGTAAATTGTACATAAATCATTAACAATGGTCCCGAATCCATTTTTAAATGGTCTCTATTTAAATTCAAAACATCGTCGAAGGTATCACCATTTGAAAATTCAAGTGTGTTCCTAGTTTCGATTTCATTTCTGGCTTTATGTACTCGTACTATATATATTAGTTATAAGCATATTATAAGCATACTACCTATGCAGTTGTTATATTAGTACCAATATTATATTTCCAGGTAAGGAAGGACTGCAGTAAATATTATTTTATTTTACCTGCATAACGTACTATATGCTATAAATTGTATGTTGTATGAAAAAAAAGATTTACTTACTAAGAACAAACATTTAAACTTTTGAAAGACTATGAGATTATCGAGTAAAATATGTTTTAATTATAACTTTGAATGGAAGAAAGTCGAATACGTTCTATTTTAATTTTTGAAAGTACATATTTTCAATCTTTAAAATTTAAAATATTATTTTATTTTATAACGTTTTAGTGATTTGCATACTTTTTTGTATATATTCTCATAAAAAATACCCGTACTTAAGCGATTATATTGCCATACTACCCGTGCAATATCAAATAACTTTTTTTAGTTATTTTGTCGACAAATGTATCTACTATATCTACGGTCTGCACTTCTACAAAAATAAATAAATCATTCAGGGGACTACAAATCCAATTGATTTTCACTAGATAAATTCGATTGAAATGTAATTATTTTTTATTGCGAACTGCGATATTACGGTTATTGGTATTAATTAAATTAAATTAATTTAATTGGTAATCATTTAAAAGATGATTTATACGTTGTTACTCGTTATACATTATTTCTATACGTTAAATATACAATCGTTGTAGTTATTTTAGTTGAACAAGTTTCGGGGTAATTGCTTTAGTTAATAATAATATTACAGCAAAATATATATATCTACATTCTACATCAATGGTATATTTGAAAATGTACAAAACACGGAATTTCTTACAAAATTATTCAAAAAGTTTTTAAGTATCTAACCTCAGGGTTGGATTAGGTTCATGGGTTCTATAATGTTTTCATTCCAATTATTCCTGCAATTCATAGAGAAACAATCTTAATAATAATAATAATAATAATAATAATATGTATGTACTTATTTAAGATTATATAAGCGAACTATATGATTTATACTACCTCTGAACCACACGCAACGTGGACAAAAAGCATTCGTGCAAAGTCTTCTTTTCTTATGATTTTGAGTAATCTTTGAGTAAAATCACCTATTATAAATACTATATAGAAAATAATATTTCTGAAGGTTGAACATATTATTTTAGGCCTAAATATATTCTCAAAAAATTGTATACCCATTTAAATATACAAAACAATTTTTTATTTTCGAAAAAGATTATACAATTGAACACAAACTAATACTTTTTACCCTCAAAAATATTATTGTTTACAGTTTTTGCAATATGTATATATTCTAAAATCTCTCAAAAATGATTTTATGTCTATAAATTTTGTTTACGATATGCTCATGGACCAGATAGAGAAAACAAATAATTAAAATAAAATATAAATAAAATAACAAATAAATTACAAATAAAATATCAACACTTAACTTTTGACAGACAAAATCATGGTTTCTTTTTCCACGTATAATTTCTCTCTTAGCTTGTATAGTATGATTTCTGAGGATGTCAGTGCACCTTATATAGCTTGGATCTACTATTACTGTGGTCCAAGTGTATATAATGTATATAACAACTTTATAATTATCATTGTTCAATCAATTAAATCTTTTAAAATAATCACTCTGCAATTACTTAATAATGACAAATACATACTTTAAAAAGAAAATAAACGATTCACTCATCTTCATGACTCTATAGTATGTTTCAACGACTTCAATAATATACATAAGTCCAAAGTCCATAACGTTATATCGTTGGACATTATGATGTTCAATTCAAACAATATATTATATACTGTACGGTACTATAAACAATTTAATAATCTTGATTAAACATGAATATTTTTATTCACATTAATCATTTGTTTGGAAAAAATGTAAAATTGTATATTACCATAAATAGCTATGAATTTAACTAACTCAAAATAACTGTTCAAGTTGGTAATTTTTTTTTTATTTGACTAGTTGCCAAATGCTCAGTTTTTCTTTTCTTTACATTTTGATAATGTTGTTATTAAAAAAAAACTTATATTTAATTTTTCCAATTAATTTAAATTATTACTCAGTTAAAAACTATTGTTACTTCTTTAGTACAATTTACACTTTTGTTTACAGAAAACAAATTTCATAATACTGAATATATTTTGTCTTAATATAATATTCATGAGTTTACCAATAATTTATTAAAATACTAGTGTTATTACATTAATACTTATACACATAAATATTTATTTAAAAAAGATGATAGGCACTAGAAAGTAGTACAAACTACTGATTTGTACAGGCATAAAGGTATTAATTAAGCGCAAACTTTTTGTTGTAAACATAGAATACAAATTAGTTTTGAAATATATTTTTATTTTCTGGACTTAGGTATAAGGATTTTAAATAAATTAACCTGTGTGCAGTAGAGACAATTATTATTTTTCATAATAAATAAAAAACAATAGCGATTTTCCTTGAAAAAATATCGTACATACCTCGATATTGTTCATAATCTTTTTTTCTTTTAGAAAGCTTACTAATAGTTACTTGGAACTCAAACTTTCTGAAGCATAATGTAATGTGCTGTACTCTTGAATTCAATAATAACTTTGTAATATTTTATGTCCCGTGTATGGCATAAACGTTTAATCCTAACTGTATACTATATACTTATTTCTATGAATTGTTCAAATGTTTGTACGTTCGGCACTTCTAAAATTACACATTCCAGTAACTCACGAATACTTATAGATTTCACAAGATTACATATATGGCAAATAGCAATAATACATACTAATATATAGGTCAGTTTGAAATCCGATACCGGGTACCAAAAGTTCGAACTGAAAGGGCTTATTATGTTTTATTATATACTAACATCAAAGAGAATGTTTTTAAACAAAAAACAATCGTATTTTAGAAATATTTGTAAAGTTAATTAATTCCAAATGACTAAACATATATAGCTATGCTAAGCTTATGATGATGAAAGATGACTAATCTTAAATATAAAAAACGTCACTTAGATTTCTACAATTCTAATTTCTAAGTGATAAACGTGAATTCCTAATTTTTGTTTTGTATAAGTTGTCATAACTCGTAGTTAATGGTATTGCAAAAGCACGTTTCGCTTTCACAGTAATTTTTCGGTAAGAAGTTTAAAATTAGTTTATTTTATTAAAACATTTACGTTTCAGCAGTATCTGCTACACTATAGTATAAAGTAATATTATAGTTTTATTACTTATTAATTGAGAAGAAAAGAAAAAGACAGTTTTGAAAATTTATGAATGATGCATATTATTTTTAACCAACTACGTTATACAGATTCTAAAGGGGAAAAATAACCATAACTAAGTTGCTTATACCTGGTGATCCACCTTACAAAAACAACTGGGTATATCACTTATTGATTATTACTCAACTAGTTTACCGGTGCAGTCACCTTGAAAATTTTTTTCAACCATATTAACTGTAGCATTATGATTTATGAAGTTATGTAGTCTTAATGTCTACAATAAATCACATTATATTTAAATCAGAAAATACCTATTATAGTCGATTTAGATGATTTTGTATACTGAATTCATTTACAAAATATGTATTAGGTACTTTATTCATATAGTAGTGACTAGTGAGTATGTTAATCGTTTTTAAATGCTTATTTATATTATATATATAGTTATTCTTTATATAGGACATAGGGACATAGATAGTTTCAGTGGTTGTAATTAAATTAATCATAAAGCAAATGCTGTTGAATGTACATTTCTAAGCATTTAAGTACAGGGTATAATATAAATAGCTGACAAGTGCAATTAACTGATTTAACTGTCACTATGTATGGTTTTACTCACAAATAACTTTTGTTTTAATCAATACCACATTTATTTATTTTAATATAACTATTGAAAGTTATTACTTGTTACATATTTGGTTACATACATTTTGTTAGTTATTTCTGCTTCACACTCAGATAGATACATCTTGTGTTTCGATTACAAACAATGACATCAGTGAACTTAATAAGTTAGGCTAGAATGCTAGATGTTTAATAAATAAAAATTTATTATTTGTATTTGTTATTTAAAAGTCTTGATCACAGCTATATTAAAATACCAACATAATATTTTTAAAAAACTCGTGATATAATTATCTGTTTTTAAATAAAATTGTTTAATATTTTTGTTGTTACTCAATCTATAATTGTTAGCTGCAAGAGCTAAAGGGAATAGCTAATAGATATTAACAATTTTAACATGTGTACTTAATACTGTAGAAATAGATATTAATATTTACTATTTAGATACCTACAGTATATTATACCCCTAAAGTCTTGGTTATTATATTCTCAAGTTTTATTTTTGAATCTCCGTATCATATATCAAGATGCAAAATTAATTTAATTATTTGTTTAATTATTGCACAATTGTAATATTTTGATTTATTGAAATTCATACAGTTTTAATTTGAAATATAAACACGTTAAAAAAATATAAGACTGACCGTGTTGGATATATCATAGGTAATTCTACTGTCCATTTCCGTAATTAATTATTATTGTATATGAAGTATATTATGTATACAATATGCATATAATTAAACATAACACGTTACAATACATATTATATTATTACATATATATATACAGGGTGATTCACCAAGTATGCTCACCCCTATTTTTTCATTTAATAATGAATTTATTCGAATTCTGATGTTTGGAATTTTTAAATACACTCAGACAATTTTTTCGAATTCTTCAATTTTTTTTTTTTGTACTACTTAAGGAGTGTTGTGTGGTATTACAAACTTCTGTTTTTAAAATGAAAACCCTCTTTTTTAAGGTATATTATTCAGTGGTCAATTTTTTTAAAAAATTTTCATGTACCTACCTAGTTAAAAATTCAAATGAGTAGTTTCTTAGTTATTAAAATGTTGGTAGCTCAATACCATGGACCTTTTATTCTTGGAACAGAAAGTTAAACAACTCAAAAATACTCATGAATTTTGAATTTGATACGTCAAATTTTTAAGAAAAATTATCCACTAAATAATTTAAGGTTGAAAAGGGGGTTGTTATTTGAAAAACAGAAGTTTGTATCTCCACAGGACACTTTTTAAGTAGTACAAAAAATCTTAAGAATTTGAAAATACGATTTTTAAGTATATTTTAAAATCCAAAATTCAGATTTTTAAACAACTGCATTATTGAAGAAAAAAGGGATGTTCGTGTTGGGCGAATCACTCTGTATAACCTAATATCTATTATCTTACGTAAAAACATGAATGTGTCATAATATATGGATGTTATTATCAGGGTGCAGATAAACTTATTAATCACGTTTAATGAAACTATAGTCTGTAGTTAAAATAATAGTCGTAAAACATCTTAGGCTTGATTGATATTTGCTAAAAAAGTTGTAAATCGATTATGCTCATCGTGCAGGTACGATTAGCAGTAAAAAGTGTACCTATAATAGTCATTCAGTACTATCATTTTCGCAACCTAACGTAGTAGGTACTGTAATAGACGGTAGTTGGCATAGTTCGGGACTGCCGTAGAAGTACCCACTGGTTTTTACTTATGGAAATGAGAACTATAACTGGCAGGTGTTTTATAATGAAATGTACACGCAACAACAAAGACTACAAACACAATAAAACTAAACTTTTTAATACAAATTTGAATTATGTCCTCATTTTAAAATTGCAAGTACAAGAATTTGACGACATCAATAATCTCTTCAATGTTAATGAAATATGAGAATGTATGTACGACTCAAATTATACTATAATGTGCTTTAATATTAATCGTACTCTAACAATGTAACGGTTATAGATTAAAATAATAAACATAGGATGACCTGCAAAAAAGACGTGTTTAGTCGCCTTGAAATTCACTTAGAACCGTGTATGCATGGATTAGGTACACATTGTTTTTCTGTTAACTGTTATGAATTACAAGTTTATTTTAAGTAATAAATAGGTACGTTTGATATTCAGGAAGGTACACACTATAATGCCTTTTTAGCATATATTTTTTATTACCTTTTTTGTTTTGATTTCATCGAATTAATATTCTGTAACAGGTACAAGACTTGCATAATAAACATATACATATTTTATACTTGATACTATGACCATTATTTAATGTAGGTACCTATGTTTCATGTATGTAGTTAATATTTAATAGATTTTAATAACGCAAGTGTTTTGGTGCAATAGTCATTTTTTAACATTTTAGGAGTTTCTTATGCAAACAAAATGTGCAGGTTAGTGTTTATTTAAAGAAATAAAAAGTTACTTTTTATTTCATTATAAATTATAAATTATTTATGTTAACTCGATGTCAAAAAATGTAAAGTTAATATTTCGAAACTGGGTTTCTGTTGCTCATATAATATGTTTTTAGCCGATTCTAATTATCAAACATACTGTTTATGGCTGATATTCTTTATAAAATAAAAATATCAGGAACTATTATAAAAAACCTTTTTGAGGAAATTCACATGAAAATAAAACCTATCAATGAACACAATTTTTAGCGATTACGAAATATAGAGAACAATATAGATTTAAATAATAGTGAATAGGCATAGTTGTTATAATATTATGTAATGGATTTATATTTATTTAATTGTATATTCTATGATGAATAGTTGAATAATTTATATTGTTCAGTCAGCACTCACCACAAACAATAAATAATCATGAAGTAATGAAATATCACAGGTATATAGAATAAACTAGATTGCTAACTATGATAATACGTGAAGTTACCATCCGCCATTTGAAAATAGGCCAATGAGATCTTATCACACCAATTTAACGTTGAAGACATGATAACATAGTCGATAATAAACATAGATAATTTTTACAAATACAAATTTTTCAATGTTATCTTATAAACACGAGTGATAACGAACATTGGCCTCGATTAAAATGCCGGCCGGTAGCTTCAACCAATTACACCGGTGCTGGATCACAGTTAGCAATCTAGTATTCTAGTTGTCTGTGTGACTGTGTGTAATATAAATAACATTTTCGACTATTGATTGTAGATATAAATAGAATGGTCACACTGGTTAGGTATAAAAAAAAATGATCTGTAGGTACAAAAACCTCATCTGTTTTTGTTTTTACTTTTATTGTATACAATTAGGATATTAATTTCAAAGACTAATATTTTAAATATCTGTTAATTATAATTTTATTTAAGTGTGTAATGTATAGTAGATAACGAGTATGTCTCAGGTCTCATGTTATTATAGTAAATGCGTTCTGTTATTATTGCGTCTAAAGTAAAATAATTTTGACGTAATTTTTGTAAGTGTAGGTAATGAAGACAATATTTAGTTCACTCTTCACTATACTTGAATAACACTGACTAACTGAATTTTTGTATGCAGTGATATAAATTATAAAACCACAATATTATTGTCGACCTTATCGTATGTACACCTAGAACCATTTGGTTCACATGACTATGAAAAATAATGTAGCCATCGGGTCTTTTCGACTGCAGCTGTGTACACAGACAGGATCAATAATGCAAACTAAACATTGCAAAATTGATAAAATATATTGGCAAGCACTAATTATTTTACGTATATATACAAATACAAAATAATAAAATAAAAAACGAAGGTTATTGTCATATATTATCATTGCGTTTGTGTTGTGAACAACATTTTTTCGGTCATCATGGTGTTGGGCGATAGGGCCACAGGGTGACATGTATTTTTTTTTATCAGTCGTCTGTGTATAATCTATATCCGGTTTAGCACGCGGAAAATGTGATAACAATGGTAATATAATATGTACAGAGTGTTTTTTTTAAACGTTCGCCAATCATTATTTTGAAAACTATTAACCCTCTTGAAAATATTTTTCGTGCATAATTCGAAGCCATGATGTGTATAATGTGTACATGACACAATTATGTATATTATTGTGTAATGTGTATAAGTGTATAATTTGTGAAATATATTTTGGCGGTAACGCCAAAGTTCTTGTTGAAATAAACTTTGGGTTAATATTTTTATGTATATATATATTATGTATGTGTAGAGGAAAAAGAGTTTATAATCAATCAGTTGGCAAAAATTATCAAGGATCAAAGCTATAGGATGCGGAATAATCTTCAGGACCCGTATCTGATTCCCCTCGATCAGATAGACGATGATAAAGGGGCGTTCACGTACGACCTGGCATCGCATCTACCTGAAATAAACACTGGAAATCAGGAAATACCATTCGCCGTATTACCCAATGACCGTCGTTACTATCAACCAGGTAGTTGGTGGTGGTCGTGTAGTAGTTTCTTAATATTATTATTTTTCTTTTCGTGCATGCGTCGTATCACTGTAGTATTTTTTTCATATCTTATATTTTTAGTTCACTGTTACGCCTAAATTATAATTTAAACGCTAGACTCACAGTTTATAATATTGTAGAATTTAGATTTTAGATAACTGATTTTTTGTTTTTAATTATTAAACCGTATTAAATTGTTGTTGGTGTATAATAGTATGGCCACAGATTATAATGTTTAAAACCGAATGGTGCACTTCTGTCTTAAGTATAGATATACGATTCTAAAATAGCACGTTGGTCGGCCTAGGATATCAGTGTACTTACCTATAACCTATCTTCAGGTGGAAAATATTATGCATTTTAATAATTAATCGTTATTATAATCTCTGGCTTGACACTAGGTATTATAATATGTATATAAAGTTTATAAATTAATTTAAGTGCATGCGTATGAAGATATCTGTCCGTGTTTTGGAAATTATTGTTTTAATTATTTGTGAATAGTGTACACATTTTGTGTAACGATAAGTTTTTAAACAACAATAAAATATATAATACGAACTGAGTGAAATCCTTCATATTTAATTTAATATAGAGTAAATTAGTATTAAATTATATATTTTATTATTTTATATATTTTAATTATTATTAATTATTGTTTCGTAACACGTATTGTTTGTGGTTAAGTTTTTTCCAGTCATTTGGCACCACCTGCAGAGGGAAATTGGCCCCGCAGATATCATAAAAAGGAAAGGTCTAAAAGCAGTGAAGTACAAGATAATTTGTCGTACGATTCAAACGGATATGTTTCATCAAAGGTCACCACTGAGAACACGAGCACCAGTGAGGTATCGATGGATTTACCACAGAGCAATTTTATGCACGTCATGCCGTTTTCTACTCATTCAAGGTTCAGCCAAGATGATTACTATTTCTTTGGTATGTTATTAATAATTTCATTCATGACTCTGTGCCCGTTGTTCTAGCAGTAACCGTCCAAATGCCTTTGTAAGAGATACAAATGATAATATATTAATTTCAATTTGCGAAATTTATAAATTATAAATGTTATAATAGTTTAGACAAAGTTTTTTAACACTAGAAAGTGAAATATTTCAAATGTCATAAACGTATATGAATCATTCAATATTCGAATACACATACCCTTGTTATATTATTATACCCGAATGGAAAGGTTTTTATTTTGAAGGCAACAAAATACATAATATAGCCCAGTGACCTGATAAGTTTGGACGTAAGGGATATGTTTTAAAATGTCATAATTGTTGCTGTTTAAATGATTATTATTTTATATGATATCGATACAAATATTTAATAGAAACAGGGATCACATGATTATCATTTATTGACTTGATAAATCATGTACATGATGTATCGATGAACATGTAAATAATGCATAGAAAAAATTTAAGTATCTGCAAATCATTTAGATTATTTGAAGACGGTATTTTTATTTAAATAGGACGATAAAAAATAAATATATCTGTGATACATTTTATAAGTAGAAGATTTAATTTAAATCAAATTATGAATTATTGATTATTTTTACTTGGATATAAAGACATTCTGATAAAATCAGAAGTTCTTGGATTTGATTCAATATATCACCATAAACCTCAGTTCGAAATTCGAGTAACGTTTTAAGAGGCATAACACTAACAATGGGATAAAAAATATAAAATATTGCTCTTTTACGGATCTGAGATTCTAAATGGATGGAGTTGTTAGTGTCATGGACTTAACAATGTGACAGAGCCACTATCAGAACCAAGCAAATTCGTCCCAATAAATTGGCATAATTTTTTGGTAGTAGTCTGACAATGACCCGGTGTTAGAGCCAATTTTGGGAACCTCTCCCGCAGTCGACAGTGATCTTAAAAAAATCTGAAAATACATCAGAAAACTTTAACAAACTATTCTGAATAAATTGGCATAATTCTTTTGGACCCAAATAATATGATAGTATGGGTGTCGATTTTTCAGGGGTCCTAGAAAAATATAAATTTTTATATTTTTTTTACAAGAAAAAGAGGCTATGACGCTCTCTTGCAAAAAATAAAATAAAATATTTATCAAAACTAAAATTGATGTTGAATTGATATTTTAAAATACTAAAATATTGTATTATACTTTTAAGTATATTTAAAGATTTTTTTTATAATTTTGACAGAAAAAAATATTTTTATTTCTCAGTATTGATAAATAACTCAATTAATAAATGTCTACGTTTAAGTAACAATCTACAACCACACTATAAATATACCTAATACAAATCATGTAAAAAAAATATGTATTTACCTATATTAAAACAGAATTATAATTTTTGATGTAGTCAAACATAAATATTTGTACTTACAATTTATTATAACACAAATATAATATTAACATCCACATGGATTGTAGAATTAGCTGTACAGCCGTGCAGATTATCGTGACAATTAATAATTATCATATACCAATATCAACAATTTAAATTTACATATTAGTTGCCATTTTTATTTATTATACTATAATACTATCAGCAATCTTTTAATAAATTGAACAGGATATTGGTATTAAATATAATTAGTAATTATTGGTATTAAATACATAGGTACAAGATGAATAATAATTATTAGTCACTTTTTTTATACTCTGAAATTTCTAAAAAAAAGTTATGATTTCACAAGCTTTTGTTCACAAACATGTGTATTAAATATTAATAAAATATATTTAAATATAAATTGTTAATTAATAAATAAGTAAACAGAACAGTAGTGATTTTGTTTTAAATCCCGAATGTTCATCGTTAGTGTAAAAAGCATTTATCGTGTTCTTGTATTACCACTTATATAATAATATTTAATTAGAAAATAAAAACTACGAAAATCGCTGTGCAATAATATAGTAGATACTAGATGTGGAGTGCACCCCATCATTGGGTGGTTTTATGTAATGGATATTGTATTAAGATTGAATTAAATTATCTATTGTATCCGAATAACGATTTCGAGCAGAGTCTATAAATCTATATTTCCAAGGATATTTTTAATTTATTTATACAGAAATACCTACTAGTAATCTGCTTTTTTATTTGTAGTTGAACTTATTAGGTTAGGTTGAACTAATTTTTGCCCAAAACATAATAAATATAAATTATCATAATTTTTTTAAATAATATTACTAACTGCCAATGCCATCGTATTGTCGTACAATGGTTTGAATACTTATAGGTAGGTAATTTATTATTATTCTAAAAATATTTTTTTGGTACAAACTAAAATCGTTATTTTTTGTTTAAATATTCAATTTCATGGATATTAAAATTTAGAATGTCTATAAAACAATTATTGTTCTTATGCATTTTTCTTATTTTCAGTTTTCTATTAGAAAAATGTGTAGGGAAGTTTGTAAGTCTAGTAGAAACGTCGAACAAATTTTTTAAACCTATCAATCAATTTTAAACAAATTATATAAAGAATATGTACGTGGTTAGAAATCCCAATTTGAAACCCCTCATAGGGCTATTAGTAAAATAATTTCTTTTTAAAAAAAGTTTAAATATATAATATTATTGTTCTTATTCTTTAAAAAATGTATAGTTATTTCATAATAATAGGTTAATACATAATATGCCATGTACGAGATAATATGTCCATTCATAATAAACCCAAGAGTTGCAATCATATGACAGTTAATATAATGATAGTTTAAAACCTTTTGAACCTTGTGGATCACTAAAACCATATTCTAAATTCTATGGACCACGGACAGCTTTTTACATAAATACCGTTCCACTACTGATCAATTTTACAACAAATTAATATAAAAAAATACATACGTAAAATAATAAAAAAGGTTTTATTTTTATTTATTTCGTGCAATTTTGGCTCCAATGTAGTCACTACAAGTCGCAGAGCTTTGCTTATTGCTAGCTGATTTTTAGCTATTTTTCTGCGGACCACCTAAATTTTCTCACGGATCACCGGTTGGCGACCGCTGGTTTAAAGAGACTGTGTCACCAACAGGACAATATAATAGTTACTGTCACAATGTAATGACGAAATTAAAAACCTTTCGCACTGTCAAACGTGCATGATAGTTGATGTGGATTATTTAGGGGGGGGTTTGAGTATAAATATGTTATACTACATAATAAAATATGAAAATTAAGGCCTTAGTCAAAAATTTTTTCAATTTGTAGGGAGGAGTTAATGAAATTTTAAAGTGAATTAAGTATATTATGCAAATTGTTTTTTTTTTGATTACTCGAGATAATAAAAAGTTTGATTCAACGGAAACTCGAATCCCATTTGGTTCACTCGTGATTTCATTAGCGGTAGATGAGAATGGAACAATTATGGTAGAACAGCATATGTCCTAAATGTTCTTAAAAAACAGGTATATTAAATTAATTTAGAATACCTTTATGAAATATTATGCAGTTATATGACACTAATTGATTAAAAAAAACACATGTACAATTATTTTTTAAAAACACAATTGCATTTGATAAATAAATATTTAAATTAAATTATTAAATATATTTGATATATAATACTATAATAGTAAAAGTTAATAAATAAACCTATATTTTTTAATACGTATTAGATACTACATCAATTAGACCATTTAATTGATTTTAATACAAATGTTTATATCAAGTATTATATTTTGATTTAAAAATACATTGCCTAGCTATAATTTAAAATGCTTGTATAATCCATAAATTATTTTAATTATTTTAAGAAGCACCCGTACAGGGTGTCTACTATCACATATTTCGAGCAATACGTATACCTACCTGCTATAGGAATAAGAAGGTAGAAAAAAGTGACACGTCATGTGGAATTACGCAAATGAAAAAAATATTTTAATATGCAGGACTTGTGCTACAAACTATTTTATAAAACATCCAAAACACGCATGATCTTAAAATATAATATTAAGTATCATTCTACAGTTGTAGAATAGTTATAATTTTGCGAAAAGAAAAAATAGTGACTGTACACGATTCGCGAACTTGGTAATATCGGTGGATAACTTCTAAGACTTACACGTAAAACCGTTTCGAAATCTTATCGGTTGGATCCCAAAAGGTGGTAATAGTTGTTAAATTATGACATTTACGATTTGTGCGAGAAAGTGAACTGCGGGTTAGGGGGCATAGGTGGCATAGCCCCCCTCCCACTCCAAGACTCCAAGTATAAATGCATGTACATCTGTGAACCATATTAATTGTAGGCAATCGGGCTATGAGCCACTTTACTTCGGATAATGCTAGCCTCCCTATCTACCCCCAAAATGCAATCAAATGTTCTCCTATGAAGTGGGGATTATTAATTAAACTCCTAACAAGTTCAAAACTGTGCACCCGTATAATAAACGATTTAACGTTTTTGAACAGACATTAATACATTACTACACTCATTTATAAGCAAAAATAAATTTTGATCTATTTGAAATGACTATTGTATTGAAATGAAAGTTTACACAAGGTATATTAGGGCGAATGTAAGTTCCCACACGAAAAAAAATTATACCGAATACAAACTTCCTTCCCACCTTATTCAGACTTTGGACTGACAACTTAAACGAAGTTGGTGTGGTTAAAATTTGTTTGTTTTTGTGTTGCATAAAAAAGTCCAATCAATTTTTTAATTGAATCTAGTCCAAATATATAATTAAATCTGATGTTCTTATCTTTATACATGTATTTGTTTGAAACATTTTTAAACTTCTATTATTTTGAATATATTCGGATGATGGTGATAACAATTTGAGTTGAATTCGGAATGGAAACTTTCGCCGGAAGCGTTTGTAGTAAGGCTTGTATCAGAACTAGCACTAGCCCAAATACTAAGGGGGAGCCTACTGGTATCTTCGATGTAATTTGTCACTAAATAATCGCAAAAATCATTTATTTCATTATTTACTGGTTTTTCATCCACGAAACTATCTATAAAACAACCTCCAACTTCTATTGGATTAAGAAATGGTAAACCAAATATATGTACCAGCCACTTTCCTAATTCATTATTTGCAAAATTAAATTCTTGTGCAGACCCTAAGCTTTGAATTTTACGGTACCAAGCGGCAAGCTTGGCCTGAATGGAAACGGCATCCCCATATTTGAGCTGTCGGAAATATAATATTTACTGCTTGGTGCATTGAAATCTCGAAGTCTAAGACAAATTTATTTGGATTTATTCCAACTGCATTAATTTTTTTTTAATAATTCAATATATGTTAGTTACCTAAGTAATAAAGATAAGTAATAAGAGATAGAAAAGGTTGTTTTATATATAGTTTCATTTCAATAAATTGATTTGACTTTACGAAAGACTTTATTTTTACAGGAACAAACAAATTTTCGCGTGGGAACTTACGTACGGGTGTAATTTTTTTCGTGTGGGTACTTACATATGTACCCCATTACCTGCTATATTTTGTGTGGGAACTTACTAAGCCCCGTATATTAATACCTACGTAGGTAGATATAGGTACAATGTTAAATGTTATTTTTCTTTCAACCATTTGATACTTTGGGATAAAAATGTGGTTGGTATTAAACCATTCGTATTGAATAATGTAATTGATAAGTGCGTTTAAAAAATATTTAAAAAATAGTCTAAAAATACAAGCCACATAGTTAGGTAATTGATAGGTAAATATAAATATAGGTGAACGTTTCCCTTAAAACTCGCAGATTCGTATCATAAATTCACTGTAGCTTAGTACCTAAGTGTACTCTCGCTAAACGATAAATATTAAATATTACATGGGGTCTGCAACAATTAATGAATTAACTGACATATGAAAAAGGCTGAACAGTTAGATAAAACCTAATTAATTTTAACCAATCTGATGTGACCCTGGCGAAAAGTGTTTTTAACGCTCTTTTAATGGGTTTTTAGTTTTTCAATACGTTTTTGATACTTGTGCGTGTCATAAATTATGTGTTTGAGCCGGAAAATGATGAGCCACTGGTATGGCATATTATTATATGTACCGCCTATATTATGATGTACGCATATTTCTATGGAGGCCGTTCGACAGCGATAAAGTTTGACAGATTACTCTATTGGACGGGTGATTATATCTGAATCCTTTATGCTGCATTACAAATCCATATTTAATACTTAATAATATTACGTTTGGGTGGAAGTACGCTTTTCGGATTATTAGGTAAAAATAAACAAGTCTCAATAATCAACATTGAATAAAACACATTTTAAAATTGTCAAATGGAATTGCTTAGCATAATATATTTTTTATACAGCATTTATAACAGAACGTGCAAACTTGAAATCTTTAAGAATACACATGTATCATAAATAATAAATATGTGTATACTACGTTAATCCCATATTGTATCTTTTTCCTTTATGCGTTTGTAACAATCCTTGAGACGAGCACATTATGCCTCACACGCATGAGGATTTAGTAGTTTAGATTTTAGATTTTTAATTTTCCCATCACGAAACAAAAAAAAATTCTGGTCATCACATTTGACTACGTAAAAAAGTATAAACGCTTGTACTTAAATATAAATAATGTTTGCTGTTATCATTTTGCAGCCCTTACTGAGATCTTTGAGAGAAATTCGGTGCTCTTAACGAACTTATACGATTCTGTTCGTTATCATTGTATTTTTCGATTTCATAATATTATTGTTTAGAACTGCAGCACATATATAAGTACACACAATTTTTGCAAAAACAGATAATTATAATTTGTTCGATTGTCGTTTTCCAGCCAAAGCCGCTGGCGTCGGTCTGGCCGTACTGGTCGTCCTGCTCATATCGTCCATAGCATGTTATAGGTCAGTGTTGCGCGGCGCCAAAGATTGCGACCTCACGCGATTGTAACATATTGCATTGTTCATATGAAATTTCAGGATGCAAAAGAACAACAAGGCGGCTGCGGACATAGAGTATCCAGCCTACGGCATCACCGGACCCAACAAAGAAATGTCGCCCACTGGCGACCGGCGCTTTGCACAGTCCGCCCAAATGTATCATTATCAACACCAGAAACAACAGATCATCGCTATGGAAACGTGAGTAAAAAACACTTCCGGGGTGGGCATAAAGTTCTTGACATAGCCGTAGATCAACACAACTTCTGAGCAGCAAATTAAACGTGTTTCGATTTTCAGCATGCTCGAGTTTTAATTATGTATAGAGAGCGGATCATTAGGTTTTTATATACATTTTTTGGCTTTATATCCAGTTCAATGGGAGTAAATAATCTGGACCACTATAGAATTCGTAGAAAAAATTTATTTCGCACATCACAGCATATTTTATAGATTAAATGATACTCAGCCTATATACTTCATATTTAAGAATGTATTGTATTGTTTGTTCATAAAAACGTCATATATATTATGCTCATTTCTGGAGTTTAAATATTTGAATTTCTATTTAATTTAAAAATTAAAAATAATAGAAGTTGTTCTATAATTTATTTGTAATTGAACTGAACATTTATCAATTTGTTTGATTGTTGTAAGCGTGACTGCATTTAAATAATTTACCAAGGTATGCAATAATTATTTTCAAGTTTAACCTTTAAGCATTTTATTACATCCCGTGTAATAAATGAATGCTAAATATAAATACTATAAATTTATAAAGTTTTTTGTTAAGTCGTAATATTTATTTTACATAACATAATATGTTTCTATTATAACTGGTATGCAGATTTTAAATTATTTGAAGTAACAAAAGCATACTTTCAGCATATTTTACCAGTTTGAGGATTATTAAGAGAATATTTTAAGGTGCTTTTAGAGCACATCAAAATCATATTTTAAGCTTTTAATAACCTAATAATCCGCTCCTTAATTATGTATTATTAACAAAACATTTGAATTACAAATTATTTTATCCAACACGTGGTTAGTACATCATAAAGCATAGTATTTTATAAAATATATTATAATTTAAAGCACAGTTAGAGCGTCATCGGTTAATCGTGCAAATCCCCTTTAAGTTTACAATCTGAGATGTTTATTTGATCGTTTTGTACAACCCTTTCGATTAATGCGAACAAACTCTCCAACAGCGGTCCCTTTGATGTTACATTAAGCACTGTCTACTACTGTATATATATTTGTATAATGATGACGTGTTTGTAATGTGTGTACACGAATACTTTAATGAAAATTAAATCAATGAAAACCTTCAATTTAGTTTTACCAGGGTAAAACCAACCAAATACATTTAAAACGAATGAATCAGTCTATTGGTACATTTATTACAGAAGTTCTTGAAAATGATGCTCAGTCTGTTATTGAATCCAAGTGTTCTAGCACTAATGCCAGCAAAAAATAAATAAAACCAGAAAATTAGGATTTTTCTCATCAAAATGAAATGTCTGCAGGGGAAAAACAACAATTATTAAAGCCTTTGTTGTCGTAATATAATACACTTGGAAATACGACCACCTCACGTCGAGTACCTACGCACGGAGCATTATATTTGTATTGTAATAATTATTATTGTCTGTTTCGCAGGAACAGTTCGGTCAAAGAAAATCGATGCGGTTCGGTTAGCGATCCGGACAGCGATGACGACAACGAGGAAGGCGATTACACAGTTTACGAATGTCCTGGATTAGCACCTGTAAGTGATTTTTGATACTATAATTTTTTAGAAAAAACGTTCAAGCAATATCTACATATTAAAATAATATATATAATTTGAGTGTTGACACGAAATATTAAACATAATGGATGTGCGCGTTCGTGTTTTAGGCAGGAGAAATGGAAGTGAAAAATCCGCTGTTCCTGGACGACAACACGCCGGCATCTCCCAACGCTGTTATAACTAGTAAAGACAATATTCCGGGAAATGGTGTCATACCGACAGTACCCGTCCCATAATAGATTACTAATCACCTACCACTCTATAAAACATTCATCTATAGATCCAAAATGTCAAAAATTTTATTTATTTATTTTTAATTTTAATACTTTATATTATAATTATTATTACCTATATTTATTTAAATTTTTGTTTTTATCTACCAATGTGGGTATATTAGCAAATAATATTTATATATATATATGTATACATAATATATATATATTTATATTATATATACTTACATATAAATCAAAACAATTTATTGTGTGGAATGGATATAAAAGGACATAATAATAATATTACATAATATGGAACTGGGACCATACATGCGTAATTCTGCAGAACGTGCACGATATCAAACGCGGCCACTGACTGAATTCGTGGATAAGGCCCCCGAAAAATAGTTTTGAAATTTGTGGTTTTTTATTTTACGATTCCCCCCCCCCCCCCAGAAACCGCTCGCCATCATTAATATTCGAAATGATCTTTGGTTGAACATTCTCATCACATGGAAAAAGATCGGACATCCAGACGGATTGTATGACGCCAAAGTCACTACTCCTTAGAACTTACAATGCTTTTAATGATACTTTTTAACATGCAGCACTGTCTATAATTAGTGTGTATCATCCGTCTAATGGACACGTAACTATAATAATACAGGAAAATATTTCGGTTAATTCGATGTTTTGCCCAACACCCAAGTTCAAACGTTTGAAACAATAATGTTTTGTATTTTTCAGAATACCCGGAATTTCTTATCGAACGTGACAATAGTGAGTTATTTTTTGTTGTTTTTTTTTCCATTCAAACGAAAACTATTTTAAGTACATTACGCGATTTACCCAAAAACCGATGAGCTTAAAATATGACCATTGAAAACCATTATATTTTATTTTGTTACAGTTTTAAAAGTATTTACTGAAAAACCTTTACCATATTTTGACAAACATTTATCAGGAAAATGATGTAATCAATACTCGTATCCTATCTCTGATTTTATGCAATATTTACCACAGATCCGTGTCTTCTACGACAAAGTGCTCTAAACAAGCGGTATTCTATTCTCTAATACATTTCCAACGGGTTACCGAAATATATTGCGCCAATAAAGGAAGTAAATATTTTATGGGACAAGATGTATCTTACTATTTAAATTTTACAAACCGTTTTAACCTCGTACTATATACATATATATATATATATAATATGTATAATATACATCATAGGCACGTAAATATTCTGCATACGAATAAATTTATATCATATTCGGATATACTATTTTAAATATATTATCATATGATATACACATATTATAAAAATCATATTTTACCCGTTGAAAAAATATTTTAAAATGTCTAATTATTTTGTTATTACATTATTTTGTTCGTACAATAGAATACGTTAGTTTTAATACCAATGTTAATTAATATTAGTCAATTCATTATTGTTTTTATTTTAAAGTCTTCCAAATGTACTAGACCACTCAAACTCTTCCGCTCGATATGTATATATAGTTATATTACAACACATATATTATATTATTATTATTATAATATTATATAGGTCAATGCTAATAGGTATACTATATACATAATTATATATGTATATATTATAATAGATATATTAACTATATTCAAGCTCTAATTGTTAAAAAGTATTTTTGAGCAGATTTTTTATGTAAACAATTATTCGTTCAGATCAGAGTTTTTATGATGTAGGTACAATTATATAATACTATATAGTATATATAACTATTGACAGATAGTTAGAATGTAATTTGTGTTTGAAATTGGATAACGTCAAGTTGTGACAGAAAAGGGCCCAGTAGAAATGCATGGGAAAAAATACGTTGTTTTATGACGAGCAAACATTATTTTTACACGTCCACTTAGATAATTGTAACCGGGGATGTCCGTTATGCAAGTTGACGACTCGTTACGAAAAAAAAAAAAAAAACAATATTTAAAAACAAGCTCTAGTTTGGGTATCCGTTTTAAGGTTTAAAACATATTTTGAGTTATGTCTCAATGACGTCATTTATACATTTCAAACTTACTGACAGAAAATAATTAAAATATAACCTTAGGTATACTGAAATCTTGTCTCAGCTTTATCTTGGTCGTCAAATTGCCAAAAAGAAATTAATAGAAAATCAAGAGCTGCATAATATACACACAACTGCGGTAGACCCACGACGTACAACGATTATTCAAGTTTGTGTATTTAAAGATTTCAAACGTATCGAGCGAGATAGTCGTAGATTATATTATATTATAATATTATACTATATTTTAAATAAGTAATCGTACGACTTACGTTATTGCCCATTGCCCAGGTATTTAAATTTGAAGAGGTTGTCAATTCAAACGTTTTGGAAATAATATCAATTAACATGCTAAATAACTTGTAAGTTAAGCTAAGTCAATTTATTTATGGTAATTCGTAATATATATACATATATATATATATATATTTCATCATGATTATAATTATTATTATCATTGCAGGTATACTATTAATATTATAATATTGTTAACAGAGTTTGAAATATTTTAACTAAACGAAAAATCTACCAAATACACCATTATCATTATACTGTAATAACTTTTCGTTTTGCGTATTTATTTATGTCATACCCACCTGCCTATCTATCTACCACCTTAATCATAGTATGCAGTACCTACTATAATTCGTCTACGAAACTACCTACAAAAGTAAGTATAGTACACACGCCTGCAGCAGTGACCTGGGCAGTGCGACAGTGCGTGTATAGTATAATGGCTTATATATATATATAATATGCCATTGATAATGATATATTTTGTAATCAATTATAAGACACATGATTGTAATATCAAGTAATTTAAGCGGGTGTTACGTATTATTATTCCTTACCTCCGATCCCGTTGTTCCTCTGCGGATTAATACCACCGATCTCGATAACTCATAATTATAATATTATGCTGTTCATATTGCGCGGTGTCGATGAAAACGTAAGTATAAGCCGATAGTGTTTATTTTCACACTGGTTCAAAAAAAAAAAAAAAATGAAAACACCAGATGTTTAATGGATATCGTTCTCCGATCTAGTCCTTTGTCGGCGGACCGCTTTGTAATAAAGAGCGGCCCGCGGAAGTGTGTCGTCTCCAATACAAACCAATATACGTATATCTGTTGTACAATGTGGGGTGAAAAAAATTTAGAGATTTTAAATATGAAATAATGCACATTTATCGGTGGTGGCACGGAGAAAAAAGAACCAAGAATAATATATAATAAGTGCTTATATTATATACTGCTTGATGTTGTTTTTATTAATTTTTATTTAATGGAACTTTTCCGATATAGACCTTAATTTTGTTTATCTTTCAATCATCTGGACTGCACTGTGGACTGCAATGATAAATAGATTGACTGAACTGATTATAATCTCGTACAACGGCGTATCTACCTATAATTCATATTTAATAATTCCGTGCAAAGGGTAAGTTTCGGTGAGATGATTTATTCAATAATCTAGATAGGCGTATGTTCACTACACCTATATTTATCTATGATATATATTTACCTGTAGTATCTACGTCTAGTATGAAATAATTCACAATACCTGTCCAAGGTATAATGTGCATGATGTTCATTGCTTTCGAAATCTTTTCCGATTGAACTTTTCTCGCAAATATATTATTATACTGCAGTTGAAGGCACAGAATACGAGAGTTTGAAAGTATACAGAGCGTTTCATCAACATTGTTAAATTCAGATTTTCGGATAAATGCTGAAAGACCATATTTTACAAAAATACTTTTATCATTTTATCATTTTACCAAGTGTCTGCACTCTGTGGTAGATCAACTTTCGAGCGAGTAGTTTTTGAGCTATTAATATTCATATAGATAGATAAAAGTACTAGTTTAACATTAAATATTTGAATTAGATTCATAAATAATATTTAGCTCAGTAGTCTAGTAGGTACTTACGCATTATAGGTAGTTGTAATTTTTACAAACTATAGATTAATATAGCAGAAAACTGAGTACTATATTAGTACTCGGAGTTCAGTTTTAAGCCGTTAGAAAATCGATTTGGACGCATCGTCGTTTAAAAATCACACGCTTAACAATTTACAGCAAACAAAAAGCGGTTCTTATTTTTAAAAAAAATCTTATTATAACCACATGACATACTGTCCTTAAAAGGTAAAAAAAAAACTATAAACCCATTTTAAAATAAGCACTGGCCACTGACCTACTATACATACCTAATAAAAAAATCCAAAAATCAAAATTTGTTGAAATACGTTATCAAAGGAAACGAATAGGGACGTGCACACTTCTTGGTGTTTCGCCCTGTACATATTATTTTGCGCTAAATTCAGTATTTCAGTGCAGGAGATATCCGCCGTAGTATATATACAATCGCAATCATCGACTATCGACCACGCAAGTTTACAGACCACGTTTCACCAGGTATTATGATCGCATATAATTTGCGTAATCGAGACCAAATGTTTTGCTGACATCTCTCAAAAGTGGGCGTGACGAGTGCGTGTGAATCGGTCGGATAGAAAACGCGTTCAGCTTTGACGTGGGCTGAAATCGATCGAGTGTCTACACAGAGGATGTTACACTATACGTCACTGCACGGTACGCGAATCAGCAATACTGCAGTCATCACAGGTATGATCGTTATTATTGTGTATAATCGGTAGAGTGTTAACGAAATGAATAGGCGAATGAGTAGTAACTAAAGTTAACGAAAGCGACGAAATTGATATTCGAAAAACTTAGTGTATACACCTATTAATTATACGGCTGTATGATTTTGTAGTGTTACCCACATACCGTTAATATTACGTAGTATAATATCATATTTATGAATGAAATGCGGAGTCTATAGACTTTCAAATTCAGAGCTGCTCAAAACGCAAACCTACATTTCATTCATACATTTATGATGACCATTATATAGCATATATGTCGAACTATGTTGTTCACTGGTGAAGTTTAAATCAAATTTATCGTTTATCACCTACAAGGAAGAGAATTCGCTCGTATCACCATCAAGCGTACATGCACTGAGACTGTAAATTTGGTTTCTTTTAAAACATTAAAATACGGAATCAATGAGGTATAAGTATAATAGTTATGTTAATATTGTTAACGCAGATAACCAATCGATTTGGGTTCTATGAGGAATTAAAAAAATAAAACTTTATATCGCTAGAAATGAGATTCTCATAGTCGTCTAGAGTCCCGATAATAGACGATTACTATACAATTTAATGAAAACTAACTTTTAACACTTTAATCGTACAAAATAAATCTAGATCAGTGTAGTTTTCAGCTGTACTTATAAATGTTATAAATAATGATGATTTATAAATAACTACATATTATAAATGTTAGATTCTAGATTCTGAGTGGAGCGATATAAATGTATTGATTTTAATTTTTTTTTTAGTGCTTGACGTCAATTTAGTGATTAGTGAAAATGCTTAAAAATTCAACCTTATTATGGTTTTTGGTAACAAACTGGATCTAGTCGATATTATTTATTTGCGGGTCAAAAATGTTTACTTTTTAAAATAAACCGGATGAAAAAAAAAATATTATTAGGGAAAAATGGGAATTTTTATGCAAAATTGATTTTGTTTTCTAGTTGTAACTCAGAAATCAATAACTGAAGAGACTTTAAAGTTAAATTTGTGCAAAATATACATATTAGTATACCTATTAGGTCGATATAGCTTATAGTTTATCAATATATCATTATAAATTAATTGCCTCTTTTTGTGCTACCTAGTAATATATATGTATATTTAAAATGTTTAATGTTTTACAGTTTTTATCAATTTATGTGTGATAAAATTTTTGTTTTTGAGTAAAAGAAACTTGGAAAAAGTATTTACAAATTAATCTTACCCCAAATATTGAAAATTCATACCTATAAATTTGATATATTAAATATTTCACTATTACTTAAATTACCATTTAATATACACAATATGTTTTTCAAATAATTAAAAAATAATAAATACAAAATAAACTACCAATTATTTTTTTGTTGTGACGTATACCTGCCTACAACATAATACTATTTTGTAGCAATGCAATGAAAAACGGTAAAATTTTCATTTTATTTTACTAGGTATACAATTTGGTAGGTAGGTAATTAATGATTTCAAGACCGTCGTACATTTTGTCAATTTTAATTAATTACCTTTCTATATAACCTAAATATAGCTATCTGAGTTATGGCAAATATTCCTAAATGTATTGTAATGAGATATTCCATCGTACAATTCAGAACGACTGAATATATCCATTATGATTTACCCTGCCGTAGTGAAGTCACTTTTTTATATTTTTATTTTGGCACTGGAAAATGTACAAACAGTTCGATAGTTTTGGCACACTAGAAAACTAAGAAAGAAGTGTACTTACATTACTCGATCATGCCGAGTGTGCACAATACACATTATGTTTTTAAAAAAAAAATGTCAGCAATCGTGGTAATAAATATTATTTGTACACTGCTGCAGTTGTAGTTGTTCTAAAATTACTATTTGATAACACTGGTTTGTTATAAATATAATATTTATGTATCTGAACAACGAGTAAATAATAGTAAATATAGATTAAAGTCGTTTTTATACTTATGTAAATAAAATATACCTAGCCACCTAGGTAGGTACCTAATAATTCTTAACGAGTTAAACAAATTAGTAAACACTTACTTAGTATTTAATTAAAGTAAAAATCAATTTAAAATTGCTTCTAATCAATCAACATCAACTTTGATATGTTTTTCCAAAAAATTGTTATGATTATTATTCGTTCATTCCTATATTGTGCATTTGTGCTGCAAATTATAGGGTGGCCGTTGAGCATTACTTGCATTCAGTAATAATAATTAACAACTTTCGTGTATAATCCACTGTCGTCCAGCTTCAAATTATTTGTGATTTTTTAATTCAATACTTCAAATCAATTTAAGGATATTATATTACCAATTTAATAAATACTTTGTTTTATATTAAGCATGACAATACCATTTGAGTCAAGCTTAATTTTTATTGGCGAAGGTACTTCAAAGTACATTGGCACATTGTTTCTTTTATTTATTATTCATAATTTTGCAATGAAACGGACGGGAAATATGTGCAATGCTGATGTATCTACATTTAATATTGTATTAAATATTTATATACATGTTGGATAATGGTATACAGAGGCTAGAGATAACCTATTTATTTACGAAAACGTACGACGTTTATGATAATATTTTCGCAGCATTTAAATAAGACATAACCTGTAAATAAAAAATTGATCCATATTCTCTTCTACAATGAGATGTTTTTTTACGTCCGACGCTTCGAGTTATATGTATGATGCCGAGGTATTTCATCAATTCCGGCAATCATTTTTTTATTCGAAGAAGAGAAAAAAATTGATTCTTCTAGTATCAATTACTCCTGTTTTGCATACACCAATTTGAGTAATCATCATTTGCTAAAAAATACACGTGTATGCGTTTTATATTCTATCATTGGTTACCTGATACGTGTAATCTAAAAAAAAAAATCAGATGCATAGATTTATTTTTCAAACTAAGAATTACAGTTATGAGTCAAGGAGTACCTGCCAGTATCCAGGTAAACGTTTGTAAGTATGATGGATGGAAAGTTTGTTTTATAATACCTGTATACCGATTACCAACAGAATCGATAGGTCGCCGTTTACAGGATATTATATTGACAGCATATTCTATAAAGGAAGCCCTCTCCCCCTCCGCTATGCCATCGATATATTTATATTTTCAGTGAACGTAAAATAAAAATAATAAAAGTTCAACCATTCACATAACGTTCGTTATAAATATATATATATATATGTATATATATTTTTTTGCTTTCTCTCGTTCTTTTCTTCCGGAGGCGATTTTCATTTTTATTTGTATTTTTTTTTTTTAATATAAAATTAAAGGATACAAAATCGGTACGAATTCTTTGACTTCGGGCCATGTTTACACGAAGGGATTCTGTTTACGTTTCGGATGCGTTTTATTGTCTAGAAGTTCGATGTAGGTACGCGATTATACACACACACACACACACACACACACACACACACACACACACACACACACACACACGCGCGCGCGCGCGTGGGGAGGGCCAGAGAGTGTTGTAAGCTATTAAACACGAGACTCGCGCGGGGAAACACATACAACACTCGCGTTAACACATGTTCAGCCGAATCGGCGTTTCTGACAAAAAAAAAAAAAAAAACTATTTTTTGTGTATTTCAAAAGTCCGCATGACATGGTAATGCATAATAATATATATATATGTATATTATATCATGTATATATAATAATATGTTGTATAAGTGTGCGTGTGTGTTTGAGACGTTTGAGTACCACACATATGAGATGGGTCCGGGTGGTCCGTTTGGGGATCTACGATTATTGAATACATATCATATACCTACCCGCGTTCACTGTCTCAGACGTTTTAACCTTTTTTTTAATTTTCACATCCCACCTTTTGCATCGCATTTCTGCCCTTTTTGTATACGCGCAGTGCCAAATGCGCTATAGAGATTTCTCGCAAAAAAAGAAAAACCACTTTCAAAATCCAATTTATAATGTCTACGCAGACACACGGTGAGTAGTATATACCTATAGAGTTGTACAATATATTTTCTACTTGTATGTGCTAAGAACATCAAAACTATACAATATATAATTTTTGTGCGAGGTAAGTTTTATTTCTAAACAAAACGGTTTCGATAATATTTAAAATAATTTATTTGATAACTATTTACATAATAAACGTAGTACATGATATTGATTTAAATATACTATTTTCAGCCTTTTAATCAATACAAAATATCGAACATTCACGTTTCGTCGATATATTACACTACATAGAGACTATATAGAGACGTTCGATATTCGTATTCGCACAACTGATGGTTGGCCAATATTATATTATTTACAAAATGTGAAAAAATATATTAATTTATAAATAAATTATGTACATCATACTTTAAACTTAAAAATAAAACTTCCATGAAGTATAAATAACATCGGGCAATATTTTTGTTGTACACGCTGAGAGATTAAATTGATTTTCGTTAAGTATCTGTATGATTTATTATGCATTTTTTTTTTATATCTGTTGGTAGCTTATTTCGTTAATATGTGTTTAAATTATAAAAACAAAAAGTTTTGAAAAGGATAAGCTAAGAAATATGTTTTCGCTTTAAAACTTTTTCAGAAGTATGGATTTAAAATATTATTTTTTCGCTACTTATGTGATATACTGTACTCACAGCTCACAGCTCACACATGCGCCAAAGTCAGTTACAAAATGATGTGTGAATGCTTTAAGAGTCTTTCTGGGTAATCAAGTTATTCAGAATAAAGACGACAATAAATTCTAATATTTGTTAAAACTTAAAAGTGAAAGACATATTGTTGAAAGGAATCGCGCGATAACCTAATGCTTCGATATACCGATTTGGCTATCCATCCGTTTTAATGTTTACGAGCGTTATTATACTATACATTTCGTGACGTACGATAATAAAGATAACGTAGATTTAGCCAAAAATTATCTTATTTTATGTTTATATATATACAAAAGAAAATTACACCCGATTTGAAAGTGAAATATTTGTTGAAGTTCCAGCGGTTTATGTTATTGTGTTACCGCAGTGCTAATAAAAGCGTCAGACTTTTTCGAAACTCGAAAGTCCGTAATATACGTCACAGACGATACGCTCTTATTATATATTATACGACGACGGCTTAGCAAAACTTCGGACAGTCATAATAATGGTGGAGACTTATGTGTTGTGGTAATCCGCTACTGGCGTTCATAGCGTTGTCCATGACGGTCTGTTGTGTTTGTCCGGCCGCAGTCGCCGATCTTCTGGCAACCGTGCTATAACCTGAAACGAATCGATGGAAAAAAAAAAAATTAAACCAATAAAATTAATGGGTGTTCAATAAATAACAGATTAACGTCGTCGACGTCAGACGCTAGACGACTAAAAATATGATATTATAATGGCTGGCGTCTGCAGCGAGCGTGTATACATTTTTCACACCCACTTGGCCACTTGTACCTTTTTGACTTTTAGCCAATGTGTGGCGAAATCGACACGTTCAACCAAGAAGGAAAAAATATGTCATCGTATTTCACAGCCAACAAGTGGTTTTGTTTCAAATTATATATTATATACGTACATATTATATTTTGACAAGGCCACGTGCGTTTCGGAGGACCTACGCGATCGGCGATGAAACCTCTTGACCTTGCATACGAAAATAATTAAATACCTATATACATATTACATGTATATAATGCGACTGCACGGTGCAGAACACTCGTCGTCGCATCTTGCACCCAGCTCTGCACATTATATGCTCTCGACTCTCGCTCTCTGTGACACCGTGTATGCATATAATGCATATAGATATATAATATATATGTATAATGGTGACCATTATGTACACTGTACCACAGTATACCACACACGACCACACCGCAGTGTTCACCCGAGGGGGTGTCCCACACAATTAGACGTTGCGGTCGTCTGAATACGTGGAGGTCAAAGGGATCGTATCTTACATAATGATATTATGTAGGTCAGAATAAAAAATATCATATCAATATGCATAAAAAACCATGGTTTGACCCATTTATGTTATATTTTATATTATTATAATAAGACAACGAGGGTTTATTTTTATAGGACACTGTTTCTCGAGTCACAACACGCTGTTTATTGCCAACATGTGATATAAAATCGGTCCACGGGGGTTTATTTTTTATGAATGCACAACGAAACGCATTTGAACGATGCGTGCTCGCGACCTAAACACTGTTCGTAAACAACTAAAAATGCCATGTCGTACGATATAAACGATATGCACACAAAGATCGCGTTTGTTTCACTTTTTAAAATCGTCGGGCTATAATAATATACTATAACATATATATATATGTGTGTGTGCATCTAAGTCATGTTTAAAATCCGGGGCCCAACGAGTATTCAGTAAATCCGAATCGACAAAAACCACCACATCGACGTACCATTATTTATTACACTGACAAACAGAAATGACTATAAGAACGATTTGTTTGAAAAGAAAAATTCGTTAGCCGTATGGTACTACGTTTGAGCAGAGATACAGCTATACAAGATTCGAAAAAAAAACTCCATCCCGAAAGAATAATATCATGACGATTATAAAATACCTATTATTCACTCGTAGACCGTATAGTTGTTGTAAATCGGTCCGAAGATTCCGATAAAATGATCACTGTTGTTTTAAATTTTAAGAATGTGATATAGAGGTATACGAGCATAACAATACGACGATGATAACTATATCAGCTTGGTGATTTTATTATTATTTTAATTCACTCTGGCGTTATATAATGTCGTTACAATTATAATTGTTCCGCCGCAGCGTTTGGTTTGTGTCCATACCCGAAGCGTAGTTTTCTGCGTGGCAATAACAATAACTATAAATATTCGGAGTACCCGTGCCACTTGGTTTCAATATCACAAGTATTAAAATACTATGACTGTAATAATATTATAATATCATGACCACGGCCCGTGAGGATTATTGTCTTAGCAGCTCGTAATAACCATTAGGCTGTTTTGTGCGCGTACGCCAACACGGCATCTATAGAGGCATAGTTTTAAATATCAACATCATATTATTTAGTTCAATTGCGTATTTAGGATTCGAGGTTACGTTTTTTTATGTTTAATTCAGCTGGTACGATGGGGACATTTTGGTAGACGCTGCAGGGGGGTCGAGTAAAATTCTATAATGTTCGTTATGGCCAGCGGCTAATTTATTATTATAAAACAATAATACCTATACTGTATATTAATGTCTAGTCGCTTACTGTATTTTTATTTATGTGAAAAGTTTGTAGTTTTGAGGAATTAGAAAAACATTAGGTTTCTTCATCAAAAATTATTTTTCTTTTGAAACTTTATACGGTGCCCTTACAGTGAGTGGATCTGAAATCCCATAGTTATATATAAAATATATACGCCCCGTTATTATTAAATTATTTCTGTATTACTGACGCCTGATAGAAAATGTCTAAAAGCTTAATGTAGAAAAAGTTTCTTTGTAGATAATAAATTTAACATGCTTATACAGTTAGATACACCATACCTCAGAGAGTTCATTTTAAAATTCCCCAGTTTCTTTTTTTATCAGAAAATCTTATAAACCTGTTAAATTCGTTATTCAGCGAGCATGCTCCAATTTATACCAAGATAATATTATCCATTTCTTGATAAAACAAAGTCAGAATCGCTTTTAAAAGGGTTTTCACTGCGTTTAAAATATAACTGTTACAGTCTCAACCGTTTTTGTCGTTGTAAACTATTCCTACTCAGCATAACATTTATAGTCAATCAACACCTATTACAGTTCACGGCACGGTATTAGTTAACTTATTGTTTTCGTGAAAAATACAATATAATTTACAATATCAGAAAAAAGGATGATTATTATAATTAATAGGTTTTAGTAATGAAAAGCACCTGTAGGTGTGTATAGTCTATTATTTGCTCTGCTTCCACAGCATTTGAAGTTTGAACACATTACGCTTAAAAGTATTGATATGATATCCTATGACATATTTCAAATGTAATATGAATTCAAAATTAAATAAATACTTCAATAAAAGAATTATAAGATCATTTTCTTTTCTTATCATGATATATGTATAGCAAAAAAAATATTTAATAAAACATTTTAATTTGTATACGCATTGTAATTTTTCTGTCACGATATTAAAAATAGATCTTCTTTATTATTTAATGTTAATTGAGACGTCAAACTTAAAATAATTTATTTTTCCAATATTAATAAAGGTAACAAGTATATATAATTTACAAAGTATTTTAGCATTTTAGAGTCAATATAGTATTCATTATATATTATTGCTATAACTATACATTGATTTATATTATAATTTATCATAGAAGTGTATTATTCACATTATAGGTACTTATTATACATTTTGGTCACAAATATTGTATTGTTTTAAAATGTAAAAAATGTGTAATTTAGTAGTATACAATCGATTTGAATTAATTAGTTAGGCACCTACTGAATATTATATTTACATACATAAATTACATCGCCTTTGCTGAATTATTCGTTATATCTGATTTATGAAATTACACCACAGTTTTGGAACTAAAATATCGAATATTTAATATTATGATTTATCAGTTAATGATTTAGCTATAGTATTATATTATATACAGACATACAGGAGTTGTAGTGTAATGAAAAGCCCAGATAATTTACGGCGGGGCAAATAATTAGTATTCTCAACTTAATTATTCACATTTTCACGTAACTCATTAAAAAACAAAACAAAAAGTTTGGTTATACAAGAATAAAATTAAATCTTAGATTGTATGTAGCATTTTAAAAGTATTATGTGTATACAAACGTAGAATTTTAAATATAATTAAAAATGATGAATGTGATTAAAAATTTTCTTTTTAAAATCTGATAAGTTTTAGATTTTAAATTTTGGAAATTTATTTCAAAATTAAAATTGTAATTTATTAGAGTTATTATATTCTTTGTTTATACTTCACTAATTAATTTTAAAGTTGCAACTCTCAATACAGTTAGACATTTGGTTTCTTTTAATTTCTCTGTTATAGTTGCAATATTTTATGGAAATAACTGATTCAGAAAAACATTAATAATACCTATTGTATTATACATTTATACCTTATAATAGATACATATAATCACTCACAGGACATATTATAATGACGTAGACTATTAAGCGCTCGAGAGTACCTCGTAGGGGATATAATATATTATATACTATTATATGCATATGGATACTTTTTTTCGATAGGATCGTTGACATAAAATGTACCGTGTGAAATGCAAAAAAAAATCTTTTACGACTAGACATAGTTTGTAGGTTAAACCCTAAGATCGAGGTCACCTCAGAACGCCTGATGTGCAAATTCTTGTTTTGACACAATCTGCATGGTGATACCGTACGTATACAGTATTTTAATTGAATCATTATTGCCTCTTAACTCTTCGACTACGAGTGGTCAAACACTCCGCATAGTCGCCGCACGACACGACAGACGTTCTCACACGTTTGTCGCCGTACTCTTCCCCTCAACTATTCCCACAAACATTATTAAATATATAGAACAAGATCGATTCAACAACCTCTATAAAGTATTTGATTGCACTATTTGCACTCGTTAACATAGTACAGTATACACGTAACATAGCCACAGAGCCATGATTATATAATATTGTAATATATTGTATTAATGTAATAATTTGTATGGATAACAAATAGGTTTTATTTGCAAAAAATTCAAAAATAAAATAGGTAGGCGGTACTCACCATTGTCGTGAGTCAAGTTGTACTGGCAGCCGTAATCAAACTGTTCTTGGTAACCACCTGCGCCTCCTACGTAACCGTCAGACTTTTGACTTTGCCAAAAGCTGGCAGCAAAATGGTCCAACTGGTCGTTCCTACTGCAGTAACCTCCACCGCCGCTGACGCCGATTCCTCCACCGCCCGCACCGCTACCGTAGTCCTGTTGCTGTTGCTGCTGGTGATGGTATCCCGCTACCATTGCAGCCGTGGCGTCCTTGTAATCGTACTGGTCGTGCAGGTAACACGCCACCGGCTGCGACTGTGGTTGCGGTTGTTGCGGATGTGGTTGAGTGGCGATCGATTGCTGTTGCTGCTGTTGCGGAGGCTGTGGCGGCTGTGCAGGTGGCAGAACCGGTGACGGTTGCGTCTGTGGCAACGACTGCGATTGCTGCTGTTGATGATGGTGGTGCTGTTGCTGTTGCTGCAACTGCAGGTTCTGGTGATGGTGATGGTGGTGAAGGTGCTGGTGGTACTGTGACGTTTGATAACCATTGCCGACGACGCCGCCGATCGGTCCGATAGTCTTCTGTTGGCACTTGCGGCGGAATCCCCGGGGTCTTCGCCTGAACGAGCTCTCCTCGAACATCAACTCCGACGCTGGATCCACCGTCCAGTAGTGACCTTTGCCAGGACGACCAAGGCCTTTCGGTAGCTTGATGAAACATTCGTTCAGGGACAGGTTATGTCGCACCGAGTTTTTCCATCCCTATTGAAACGCATTCGTTTTAATACATATAGTCAAATAGTTAAATATGAGATGAAATTGTACAATCGACATTCCATGCTTAAATACGGATAACGCTTATTTAAGTGCTAAACATCTATGTACAGTAAGTATAACACGCGTATAGATACATTATAATGTATTATAATTTATAACATTAAATATAATATGACCATTTACGTAGGTATTTCTTTTACGTTACTCGATCCCCAACATAGCATTTGTGTTACAACCGGGGGAGGGGTGATTCAGAAAAGATAAAATGGTCGAAAGTAAATTAGTAATCAAAATAAAATTGTATGATTTATTGTTTGATAATTGAACATATATCTTGCAGATTAGTGTAATTTTTAATGTGTGTGTTTTTGAAAGGTGTAAATAAAATATAGTTGGACCACCATGTGAGTTATGGTCGGTAATCGGTATGACGGTATAATACATCGTTTCAGATACGGAAGACATTTAGGCCAAAGTGTTTACAGCGAGAACGGAGAATTGACATATCAACAGAGTTATGTTTATTAATTTACAAATTTATTTAAACTTAAAAAGACTTACATATAATATACGCAAATACATAACAGGTATGGTTACCGGTGAGTAAGAAAAATCTTGAGTGAAACTGATAAGTGGTAGCCATAAAGTGTGCACAAAAACAACACCGCTTGGAAGTTACATAATTTTTAGTATTTTGTTAGGATAAATTTTGTGTATAAATGTTTTGAATTTAAAATAAATCTTATTCATTTATTTTTTAGTACAAATTAATAGTAAATAAATGCTTGTAAACACTAGCGTTTAAAGTAGTAAAATTTAAATGTTCGCTATTTACGATAAAAAATTATAGAGAAATTCTACTGCAGCTAACTAGTTTAACCGAAACAACATACAACACAGTACGATCCTTACACCGTTCCTACAAAAAAAGTATTGTGCTACTATAGCGACGCAACAACCGGTATCGGCACACTACCTTTAAGTTCCAACCACTGATAATATTATTAAATGGTTGTATAACACGCAAGTACGGAAAAACAGCAGACCAGACGCAAGTAAAAACATTCATATCATAATTAAATCGTATTCTTATGTTTTCAGATAAAACTTTACGTTAAAACCGTAATAATCAACGTTGGAGTATTTACTGATGTTTTGAACGACATAAATAATTTCATTAGTTTTGTTTTGTTTGATCGCTTATTAATGTCAATTGTTTTCAAAATAAAATTAGTTTCTACTGTGTAATATTTTAATTCTTAATTATTTTATTTTATTTCAATAAGTAAAATTTCATAACACTATATAATAGAATTGATTTTTACTTCCGAAGGTCTTGAAAGAAAATCTAAAGCAAATGAATGCTGTACAAATATAGTATAAAATCTATAAACACTAATATTATTATATAGTATGTACTCAAATGTAAAACAGAACCACACCAATTTTACAAGAATTATCAATCAAAAAGCTAATGTTTTTAGTATTAAAAACTTAAAGTTTAAATTATAAAAAAATAATATTATTTATTTTGTGAGATTTTGAACTAGGTACCTATTAAATGTATTAACAATATTATTCATATTTTAAAATAATGTACACAAAGCTAGCTCTAACAATTTCCACCTTGGCAATGTATGTTTCCTTTTAGCCAACCCCCCCCCCCCCCCACACACACTTTCTGACTTCTCTCACTATTAAGAATTTGCTATAGAATTATACTCTTATTTATGAGTCATCTACTTGATAATCAATAATTACAAAAGATAATAATAGAATTTGTACTTTGTAATGTCTTTTGTTAATAGATTCTCATCAGTATTTCTGATTAGAATTGAGGATAAATAAGAAGGGGTCGTTAGTCACCATGTCCACTTTACTTATAAGTTATAAGGCATTTTTATGGCCAAAATAAATAGCTATCTGCAGTACATTACATTATAATTTAAATATAGGTACCTACCTACGTCAAAAAAAAAAAATTTTAATATTTAATTATACTAAAAATATATAATAAGTATTTGTATACTTAATAATATCATATTAGTCGTTATTATTTTATCCTGAATATTATTTTATTTTCCTCTTGAATTGAATCAAAACAAAGTGACCGAAACTGGTTTGATATTTATGGTATAAGGGTGGTAATAATGTAGTTTAATTAATACATTATGCAAGTACCTACAAATTGTAAAATACATACTTTTATTTAATTTAAATTAATTATATTTGAGTAAAGTATTTATTATATGTGTAATTGGTCATAATTATTTCCCATAATTTTGAATTTGAAGGTTGTATATTACATTTTTCATTTTATAACGTATTTACTTTTAATCTGCATTATAAAAAAAAACTATTCCAATAAACAATATGAATTTTTAAGGATTAGAATAACTGTTATTAACGATCATGTTATTTATTACATTTACTCAATATTTAGATACACATTGCAGGTGACATTTTTATTGAAACATATATCATACAGCTATAATATACTGCAGTAAACAAAAACATGTCGAGCAGTACATTTAAGGTATTGTAATTATATTACCCGTGGGCTGTATATGTGTAATGAAATTTAAAAATATTTAAAAAGTTACAACATTTTATTATTTGATAATGACTGTATAATCACAGAATATATTAAATTATAATATCTTATTGGCTATAGTAATTTAAATCTATAATAGTGAAATCATTTTAAGTACATAAAGATACAAATTTATACAACAATGACATAATTCCGGACATGGAATAATAGAAAAAATTATAGGATACAGTTATGGTTGAATATTATTTTTTCAAAGCTCTTTAAAGAGCTTTTATCTTCTTAAAACAGTTGAAAAATACCTACATAATTTATTGAAACAAAAATAAATATAAATTATTATTAAATAGTACGTAACCTATACAATGGTATTTCAACTGTTTTTTTTTAATTTCATAAATATTTCTCAATTTGTTATCTTCTATCTGTTGGTATAGACTAGTATGGAAGGTATAGCAAATTACCACCAATGACACAGTAGTATAAATGACTGCTGAAATATTTTTTAGATATTTATTTATGATTTACATTACCAATAATAAAAATATTATTTATTGTAAAATAGACTATAAAGACGGTTTAAAATAAATTAACCAATATTACGTATGTGTTTATATATGTTATTATTTATTAATCGTTACATACGTGTATATATAACGTTACATGTAGATAATATATTACACATTATAATATTATAAACATATATAGGTATTCTATACTGTAGCCAATAATACTATTGTCTCAAACACTCAAAAACTTTGAATAATTTAAGAGATATGTTTTGACCAATTATAAAAAATAAATATATCCATCTACATATTAACCTCGAATCTACATAATTTACTATGTAATACACCTGCTACATAGTACAGCTTTTAGTTAAAAAAAAAATACCAGAACATAGGTACATACTATAATATGATGTCTATAGAATATGAAGTTTATTTTGTTTTCCAAAAAAAAGTCGATTGAACATTATTTAGAAGAAAATTCGGTGATACATTTTAACAAGCAGGTACCTGCGTATCGAATACTATACCGCTGGTGATATAATAATATACAATACGCATCTATATTCATATTATTATAATATAATATAAGACCTACCACGTTCCTACGCGGTTATACACCGTAATTATTCTTATCAATTATTATTGAAAGCCACAATATATCATCGTGCCGTATGCGTATTTACCTGATAGGAACCTCTGAAGAAAGGGAATCGGTGCTGGAGGAAAGAGTATATTTCGCTGAGGGTGAGTCTTTTCACCGGTGAACTCTGGATCGCCATGACGATTAAGGCTATATACGAGTAGGGCGGTTTTTCGGACCTGCCTGTCCCGACTCCACCAGTCGCCGGCACCGTTTTCGCTGTCGGAACGACGCCGCTGTTCTTCTTACAGCTGTTATTGTTGTTATTGTTGTTGTTGTTGTTGTTGTTGTTGAGAGATTTTCTCTCGTCATTTTCGTCTTCGGCCTTAACGATCAGCATGTCCATACCGTTATTTCGATGCCGCTTGCGCTCGCGCGATCGTCGTTCTATTATAATATACGAGGTGCACGACGACGACGAAAATAATTGTAAAAAAGAAAATGAAACGCAATTTTTTTTCTAATTATCGAAAAATAAAAAAATTACCAAAACACGCGAAAACTTAACTCAAATTATTTTTTTTATATTTCATTAAGGCGTGCGCGCATAATATACACAGTTAATATTTACACGAACGAGTACACCGTACATTTGTATACGGACCGATTATTGTTTACACCCGTCGTACACAATTCACGCATTACCAATGCAACCGGTTGGAGCGGCCGGGCGGACTGTCACCCCGGGCGGAGCGGCGGCTGGACCAGAGAGGAAAAAATGGGCAGGACGGTCGTCGGCCAATCCGTGGCCTCCACCGTCCTCGATAATACGATAATAATAATAATGACGATGACGACGATGACGATGACGATGATGATCGTGGAGGGACAAGCAGCCTTCGACGCCGCCGACACCTCGGCGATGTGCCAACGCCGCGAGTATGGCATGCCCATATCGTAACACATTATTATGCGTATATTTGTCGATTCGGACGGAAAATACCAAATTTAAGTAATAACGATAATAACGCACATATTGCAGCACACAATATCGTAGAAATGTATAACATAATGTATGCATAATTACTCGTATATACCCACATGACGTGTGCAGCAGTTATTCTTGTGCACTGGAACACTCTTTCGATCCGCATCCGTTGAGTCCACCTCCTAATTTTTTTCCAAATCAAGCGCTGCGACTGTATGAGCATATAATTTGCAATGAACATTATTGACGACAGATCGTATACCATCATAATATATACCTATATAGCTCCCGGTGCTTCGATTTGCCTACACCGGTCGAATTCGTGTGCGCGAGTGTCCACTGAACAGTTTAAAAATATAACATGACGAAGCCAGATATCCGGTAATATTACGTAATTCGTGTATAAAAACAATAAATATTATATATGTATTCTGAGTTCTAAATGGAAGATTCGCTATTAACAATCATCGCGTTTATTGTATATTATTATCATTCAAATTGAAATATTCCAATGTACTAAGAAGGCAGTATAGCATCGATTAAATATACATTGTACATTTAATCAATGGTAGTGTAGGTGGTCAGTAATCTATATAACAACGAATTAACACGCCAAAACAGGAACAATAAGTATTAAGCGCACCGTGTACAACAGACTGCTGCAGCAATGCATAATAACTATTTTACTCGGCAAATAAATGGCAGTATCGAAATATAAACCCATTGCCATAGATAATAACTTGTGGAGAACGTTTAAGGAGAAATCAATAATTTAAATATACGCCAAAAATGTCAAGATAAAAATAGACATAAAAGAGTTGAGACTTGATGACACAGAAAAAATAAACAATAATACACTGTAAATATTAAAAATATAGGTACATAAAGATAATAATAAAGGGTATTTACTCGTATTGTATTCACAATATTAATGTCACAAGTTAATTTATAACATTTCAAGTTTTAACCTTCAGTCCTCAACTGCAAGTAGGTAGGTTGTCTCTAAAAGTTTAAAATACTAAACATTTTTTGCCAGGTTAATATGAAAAGCTTGAAGAAAAAAGAAAAAAAGCAAAGAAATAAATTAAAAATTAAATTAAATAGATACGATACAATTTATTTAAACAATGTACACGGATGAAGCCAGGTAATTCGGCTAGTACTCTACATATATTAAGAATATTACAATATATAGGTATAACCATTAACTATTACAATATGTTGATGAGTACCTATTATAAAGGTAATATTATACAAATAATGCATGGATAAAACAAGGATATTTTAGTGGTTGTATGTTATAAACATATAAAACATCAAAAGTAATGTTTTTATAATATTATATTATGTTTATGCTACGCAAATGTGATCCTGCCCATGCAATTTGAATTACGAATGAAAACAAATTCTTTTTTGTGCTTTATTGTTTATTCAGTTTATTATTATATACTAACAATTATAATAAAATGTCGATGAAAAAAACAAAACAAAATATTTTTAATAATTGTAATTATATTATTACCTATTTGTTATGAGCATATTCTTAAAAACAATTAAACAACAACAATAATTATCATACACAATACACATAGGTACTATTGACAGATGATCGACGAACTTGTACGCATCTTAGCATAATAGATAAATGCAAGTTTAGGAGAGTTGCAGACACGCTTTGAAATTCTCAGTGCCATATATTATAATCATGCACCTACTAACAAATTGGTAATAACAAAATCTGGTAGTACAACCGGGGATAGTAATAATACATTTTTGTAAAAAATGTTGCACGAAAGATAACTGCAGGTTTGTAGTTGCGCTTCAAATTTCCCGGGCAGTGCGTACAATGTATTCGTTTTGGTCGTAATTAATCGGTCGACGTGAAATATATGTTTAATATGATACTCACGTTTTAATACATCTAATATATTGAAGCCAACTGCTTAAGAGAATGGAAACACGGTTGAATTTCCGTTTTACTTAAGCTGGACATTTTTTTTTTCTAAATACCTATATTCTCAAAATACCACGTGGAAATAGATATCGGGTGAAAAAAGTTTATCATAAATTCTATACGTCACAACTACAAACTACAGCATAATATATAGGTACGTAGATATTGCACACACCCTAAAACCATCACACAACACCAACCATACTGCAGACCATACAGCAATATAATGTCCTTTTACGACTTATTTTTGTTTATTCGGTATTCCTAATAGTATTCCTTACTTATTTCTTTACATGTTGTATTTTTTAGTGTTGTATAAACTACGCGTTCACGTATAGAATATTATAATATAATACGTATTTAAAAGCGGGGAAATACCAAAATGTATAATAATAATGTCCACCTACACGGGAACGAGTTAATCTAATATGATAGATCTCGGTGAGTACAGTTACACGGACTTTTTGGAACAGAAGCGATAATATATTCGGATGGGAAATATAATATTATACATTTGAAATGAATACAGCTGCAGTGTAGTTGTAGCAGTATGAGGAGCGGCAACATCTCAATTTGACTCAGATGTCGGTTTGAGATAATCGTAAAATGTATCGCACGGATAGAAATATCCAACCATGAATATATTATGGAGAGTGGGTAAATGCGATACCGCTGAAACGAAATGCACAGAACTCGAAGACCAGTCCGTCTGAGGGTCGAACAAATGTACGGACAAGATGAAAAATGTTTAAATGATTGAAAACAATTTTTAGGTTTTGCCACTCAAAGAGATTGAGTTCTCGTAACTATTGAGTACATTGCAGTGCAGGTCGTACATAAAAACATTGTTTTTCTTTTCCAACGCGGCCGATCTGAGTATATACATCCACCGAACAAGGCCCTTTCTGCTAATTTCCACATATCTAATCTATTATCACATAACAGCTATTGTATACACGCGCACACACACACCTTACATATGCGGTGTACCCGGTACTTACACATTGCTATACGTATAATATTATGTCAATCGAGCCATAATCATAATAATATTGTGGTATACAGCGCACGTGTTATGTAGATTATGTGTGCGTAGTACCTTTTCGTATTTTTCAATGTCTTCTCGCGTAAAAATAATAAACGCCGTATAATATTATTACTATGTTCGGTACTGTGTAGTAACATTGACAATATAGAGTATATTATACTGCAGTATATAGACGAACAAAGATTCGCAATAAATGGTAACTACCACCAAATACAAATTTTAGATCCTGAACAGAGCGATGAATGTATTGATTGATTTTATGACGATGTGTGTTTTTTTTCTTATTGTAACTCTATATGCACTGGTTATAGTCGAAAAAATTTGTTGATTTTCAACTTTGACGCGTTTTCTTAGCCCGACAGTGATTCCGATGGGATACTTTTGGGAGGCAAAATTAAAACTGCCAGCGTGTAAACTCACCAAAATAATCGGAAAATCAAAAAAAGACACGGAAAAACGGGAATTTTTAAGCTTATTACTACGTGGTTTTCGATACAATGGTTTTTCTTATTTTGATAAAAAATTCAAAAAACAATAAACTATACCGCAAAATGTTTATATTATAATATTCTATACATGCGGTATAATGTTCAAAATATTTTGACACTTTCTGATTTATTTATAGACAGTCGACATTTTCGATTTTTTAACGAATAATGATTTTAGTTTTTTTTTTTTGTTGTAAGTACTACCTACATAATTTAAAAATATTTTTCGTGGGGATTTGAAACTGCCACGTATATTATTATACTTTTTATATTCAATGACATGGCATATAAATATATCATAGACTGACAGACTGTCTTCTCTCAGAATGATTTATCATTGAATTCGAATTTAACACATGTATTATGAAGTGACCTACTCTATGAAGAAGTACATCTACTGTTGTATAGCTGCAGAGCCGCGGTTACCTATATTCCCACTTTTTTGAATCCATATTAATTACCGTAGATGTAATTAATATAACTATTAACTATTGAGTATAATTTAATGATAATTTCGAGTTTATGTAAATTTTAAATACCATCAACTTTTTTATTATAAATAGAAGACCTCCACTCGATTGGCCGCTATTAGTGTGTTAAATATGTGTTTTTAGTTAATCATTTGTATAATAAATTGTTAAATTTTAGAAACACGAGAGAGCGTGATTTTTGGTGCTGACCGTGCCAACTGCCAGCCTACTTACAAATAATAGTATTTCGTTGTATAATATTTGAGTAGACACTTTTGTGTTATTTAAGTACTCTGGCTGAATATATTACCCCTATATTATGTCGGATGACGTATTTTAAAAATCGACGTTACAAATAATTATTTAAAATTAAAAATATCGTGCGTCTGGTGTCGATAACATTTAACGACGGACAATCTACGGTCAACTTTATGCCTACGTTTTTTCATTATTTTTTTTTTAGCCATGAACGTACGTTGCCCACCCCCGAAACGTGATGGATGCGTTTACACGTTATTGTACGAGTATATGTTGTACAGATACTCTCGTATACGCATTTCATTCGGCCGACCGCGACCGCGACGGCATGGCGCTGTGAAATTTCAAAAACGTATACCTACGCAGCAGCAGCTGTAGACTGTTACGCATTGATTTTGGACCACAATATATCTGTATATTTTAAAATCAACGATAGTAGTAGTAGTGGTAGTAGTAGTAGTAGTAGTAGTGGTAGTAGTATAGTCTGTACAGTATATATCATAAACGCCCGTACAACGCTGCTGCAGCAGCTTT